AGGTGGCTCTACGACTTGCCAGAACAAGAAGGAGAAATGAGTCAGAGACAGATCAACCATAGTAAAAATGTGAATTAGGCAGTTCGACTTCAGTGCCACGCCCCCTTCATACTACATATGTGTACTTCCCTTGTGCCCTCCCTCTTCCTCTCCCCCTTCCTTTCCCCTCCCCCGCCCTCTTTCCCCCCTCCGTCCCTCAAAACTAGCTTCCCTTCTTTCCTCTTTCCCCTTTCCCCTTCATTAATTCATTTACTGCTCCAGGATCTCGCTCAGGGTTTAAAATGACAACTACTTAATGGGACAAACCAACCCACACTGATGTGTCAGAGAAAAAGCTGGAAGGTGAAGGGAATTTTAACTATGACCCTCTAAAGATATCACCTTTGCAGTTTAACTCATTAGGAACTACAAGAGAAAGTTTGCAGCCAAAGAATGGAGGTGAGGAAAATGTTTTGGTTCAGGAAGAACCTCCAAACCCCTGACAGATCAAGTAGGAACAGATGTTTAGCCTAACAAGTAAGAACACTGATCCCAGTACTGTAACTAGCCCCGGGCAGTTCGGGGCCAGTGAGGGGAAGCCCAGAGGTAAGTGTCAAAAAGAGGTTGGTTGGCAAAGATAGTGCAAAATTCAACAGTACCACGAGTAAATTTTTCTAATTTAATGTTACATAAAGCTAGCTAGCTCTAGTGCCTCCTAAGAACAAACGAGGTAATTTCAAAAATTATCTCAAGTCTGAAACACTAATTCAACAACAACTTTTGGTTGCTGCTGTTCTCTGATTTTTAAAAATAGTGCTATACTGTTTACAGACACTTGTCCTATGCATATTTCATTTGATCTCGGTGAACATTTACCAAGCATGGAACATCATCGGCTGTTCTTATTTCTTTTGCATTATAAACAAGGGGACTGCAGGTCAAAGAAGTCCGGTGGGATGCCAAGGTTTGCACTTGGGTCTTCTTTTTCAGGTACTGAGGTTCCAGGACGCCTCCCAACATTTAGAATTTTCTGTGCCATTGCTGTCATATAACTCAACATCCCAGGGGAATTCTCAAATTTTAGAGAGTCTGACTGCCACCAAAAGAAAGTAGCCTGTTTATTCACCAGACTTGAGGGTATCTGTAGCCCTATCTGCTTTCCATCCCTGCATTTTTCCCCTAGCTAATGCTTGGTTCTCTTGTAAGTGTTAGTACAGCCTCACATAGTTTTCCTTAAGCATTGTCAGAGTTTGTGCTCCAATTACCTGCTCATGTTTTGCTGGATTAGTTATCTTGCTTCTGCTTCTCATCTGGGCAAAGTTCCCATCAGAGTGCTGTAAGCAAGAAGAGATAATACATTGCTGGGTTTGATCAGGAGAAAAACACTAACATAGCTGGTCCAAGTCAGAATACAAATATTTCATGTTGAGACTAACACAAAAAGCAGCTGGGAAAACACTGCTGTTTACAGATTTGAATTAGCCCAGAACTAATTTTAGCCTTAGAGGTAAAAGGCGACATTTTTAAACATTGTCATTTAAAGCACATAACCTTTATGTTCTGGACAGAACTTTTTGAAACATATGGATGCATTTCCTAGAAAAAACATTTAATTAAGCCTCAAGTAGTGGATGGGCTTCAGGAGGTTTGTGATCTAAGAATCATCTTTGGGAAGCATTAAGTGCGTCATAGCAATTTTTATATGGGGCCCATAAATCACCCCATACAGACCCTGTAATTATATTCCATGTGTATTTGTGTTTATAGACATAAATTGGGACACACACTGAAAATACATTTCCAAATGGAGGGGATCCACCTATAAATCTACAAATAATCATGAGACATTATCTATTTCTCATATTACCACCAGTATTAGATATTATAAGCCTTTTTAAATATTCACAAATTCACAGTTATAAGTGATACCATGTTTCTCTTTCATCTTGTTTGTTTGTTTGTTTTTCCAGTACCAGGAACTGAACTCAGGACCTCGTGCTTGCCAGGCAGGTGCTGTGCCGCTGAGCTAAATCTCCAGCCCCTCATGTTTCTCTTTTAATCTTCCTTCCTTTAGCACAATTGTTTTATTTGTAAATATTCACTGCTTTCTGTGTTTGTTCTCTTGTAAATTGCCTATTCAACAAACTTTTAAAAATTTTTTGGTAGTACTATGGATTGAACCTGAGGCTTTAAGCATGGTAGGGAAGCTTTTTACATCCCTAGACCTTTTTTATTTTATTTTGAGACTAAGTCTCACTAAACTGCCCAGGCTGGCTTCAAAACTTGCAGTCCTCCTGCCTCAGTCTTCCAGCTAGATGGGATTACAGAGGCATGTCACCATGTCTGGTTTATATTGTATTTTCTAATTGTTTATGGTTTACATATGGAGTAGCTCTTGGTTTTTTATGTTAATTTTATAACGAGTTGCTTCAACTCATCTTTTACTGCTTTTAAATGTTTTTCTCTTGACTAGGGCTCTCATATCAGTTGCAAGCAAATGACAACCCTGACTCATTTACAGTAGTCTATTTAATTTCTTATCTTTACTTCATATTTAATTGTATTGGCTATTAGTTTATTCCTGGAAACAATTACAGCATTTTGTTATAAAGCAAGTTGGTGTAACATATCTATTTAGTATAACATATCTATTTCAAAATTCTCTACTCCAAATTCTTAAAATATTTTTATTAGGACTGATGCTGCACTTTACAAAATCTTTTCAGCATCAGTTGAAACATACTTTTTTCTCTTTTGACCTATTAAAATAGTTAACTGTATAAAAAATTTTCTATTATCAAATCATTCTTATAAACTTGGAATAATCCCTCTTACTTTGGGCATATCATTTGTAATGTAATGCCAGATTAATCTGTTAATATTATGTTTTTAGTTTTACATTATATCCAAAAGGAGATTAACCTATAGATGTCTTTCTTGTGTACCTGGTTTTACTTTAAAACTAATCTTTCAGCTCATCCTAAACAGAAGGATTACTGAGGGAAAAGCCTTGAAGGCAACCACCTGAAATGGCCTTAATGCAAAAGAAAAAAATGCTCCCAACACTGTGGTTTGTCTACTTTTGTGAAAATTTATAACACCACTCTCTCTATACTTCCTGACACGACCTCACAAGTTATTGCAGGTATTATGGATATTGCTCTTTTTTACAAAAAAATACATACATTTTCAGCAGCAGAGGCAGGTGTTAGATGAAGGTTTTTATTCTTCCAAGCCTGCCTGTCTCACTGCCCTGAGACATAAATCACAACAATGAAAATTTGGAGAAAGGCTGTGTATCAATGAGCTTTCCTGTCACTGGGACATAGTACTGCACAGTCACAACTTATAGATGATGAAGTTTAATTTGCCTTATGGTTTCAGGGAATTCAGTGCATGGTCAGCCGGCTCCAGTGTGGAAACATCACAGTGGAAGGGCCTGGTGGAGCAAGGATGCTTAGCTCATGGCAGCCAGGAAACACAGCAGGTGAACAGTGCCAGAAAGGAAGGGCCCAGAGACTATACTGAGTCTCCAAACTCACACCTCCTGGACTCACCTAGTCACATCCAGAATCCCTTAGGAGGTTCCCAAGCCAAT